GATCATCTATTACCACTCCAATCACTATCTACTTCTTCCCCAAATCTCTTCCCTAATAGAACTCAAATCTGGTTCCTCGCACAATAGATTTGATTCAAAAAATCAATTCCTCTACAAATGTATACTAGATCTGCAAAGAAAAATGGAAAAAACACAACATTCCTTCAATCAACATCAACAGTAACTATATCTGAAAATTCAAGCAATCAGAAGCTACACAAAACTCTAAATCCCATTCAAGCATGACTGTAAGCCAACAAAGAAACAGAACAAAAAAACCCAGGTGGGTTCGACTCAAACCCAGGCGCTGGGTTCCGAACCCAGCGCTTGGGTTGGAGGAACCTGCGCCTGGGTTCGAACGAACCCAGGCGTGCTGGGTTCGAACGAACCCAGGCGTCCTGGGTTCGAACGAACCCAGGGGTGCTGGGTTCGAACGAACCTAGGCGTCTTGGGTTCCTCGAACCCAGCACGCCTGGTGCCTCGACCCGCGCTTGGGTTCGAGGAACCCAGGCGTTGGTGCTGGGTTCCTCGAACCCAGTAGGGGAGGGGAAAGAGAAGGAGAAAAAAAAAAGGAAAGGAAAGATAAAAAAGAAAAAAAAAAGAAATTTTTATTTATTAAATTATATTTTTATGCCAAGTCACCATATTTTTATAATTAAAAATGCCACATCACTCATTTTATTTCCAGGTAATTTTAATATTAATAAAAATTGAATTTATTAACAAGAAATTTTGCCATGTCAGCACTTAACTGACGAAAGGACAAAATTGGTTCTAAAAATTAAAGTTTAAGGATATTTTTAATACTTTTTGAAGTTCGAGGGTAGTTTTAGTCCAAAAATGAAAGTTGAGGGACTGAATCGGGGATTTAACCCTAAGCAAACTCATCAGTGCGACTCGGACGAGTCTAGCTGACGAGTCGAAGTCACCAGAAAAGAATAGGGCTGGGCCTGTTTTAATGATGGGTTTCTTTGTTCACTCTTCAAGACTTTAACTATGGGCTCTTGGCCTAAGAATTTACGGGGTTTGTAAATAAAAATTAAAATTAAAATAATGAAACTATAAACAAATATGAAAGCTCTTTTCTACTATTTTGAAAAAATAAAGACTCTATTTGATTTATTTATTAGGAAATACGGCCAGAATTTTATGATCGAAATTATCAAAAGAGTAGAGCCAAATGTTATTAAAGTGAGGGCATCTTGCTAGAGGTATTTATGATACAACAAAATTAATTTCTCCATTCATGAACTCAATTGTTTAAAATAAAACAATTACAAATACTAATTATGAACTTTTAATCACGCATATTGCATTTCAAATTTTAAAGTCAGTTGGGTATATACAAGTTTGCTTATGTTGAATTATCGAATTTATTACAAGAAAAGAGGACAGTCTAAATGACTTCACTAATAAAACTACAATGCTATATTTATAATACAACATAAAATTATAAGCTTACAATGATGTAGAATTAAATGTACATATAGTATTACGGATAGATCTTTAAATGTAAAAAATTAATTATATAATAATATATCATGTTATAAACTTATAATGTCATATGACATTGTAATTATAATATTTTTGAAAAAAAAAACTGAAATTAAAGAAAATTATGATGGAAAAATCACTTGGAAACACAATGATTATTCTTTAATCTTGGATGAAAACATAGCACCAAGTTCATCACCCACAAACAAGCAGAAAGGCATGAAAGTACAAGATTGGAGAAAAACATCAGATATAAAAAATTCCAATTCTGGGGTTCTAGGCTAGAGTCTCAATGCTTTCCATCTTCTTCTTCACAGAATTTTGTGTATTTCTCAGAGTCCATCAAGTTGTTTAGCTCCCCACTGTCCTTTATGTCGACCTTTATTATCCACCCCTTTTCATATGGACTTGAATTAACCTACATTGTGATGAACAGAGAAATGTAAGTAGAAGAGAGGGAATTGGAAATACCTCGAAATGGTAAAATTTTAGACTTGATATATAACTTATGGCATAGGGCAATAGGCTCACCAAGCCAGGGGAATTGTTGAGTTCTTCATTAACTTCAACAACTTCTCCTGAAACGGGGGAAATGACATCACTAGTGGCCTTGACACTTTCAACTGCACCAAAGCTGTCCCCTTGGGTTATAGATGCTCCCACTTCAGGTAATTCCACATACACAACCTCTCCTAAATGATCTTGAGCATGATCAGTTATACCAACTGTAGCCGAGTTGCCATTGACCTTCACCCATTCATGAGAGTCAGCATATTTCAGATCCTTTAGAACTGCAAGTATAGGGAAGAAACATTAGCTGATATTCCATCAGCAAATGAAACTAGATAAACTGACTCTATAAGGCAGTGAGAGAAATGCCACTGATGAAATGACTAGATTCGTGATTAGATAACCTCATCAAGCAGCTTGGAAGAGCGAGATGGAGTATTCTGGTTTCTGGACACAATAGAAGCATGACTAAAATGCATGAAACAACAATTGGGTGTTTTTCTTTAACAAAGACACGATACACCAAACTGTTTAGGGCTTCTGATTGCAGATAAACAGATCAAGAATATATATTGGTTGGCACCAAACATCACTACCAAGTTTGAGGATCTAATCATATTCAAAAATTGAAAATCTAAGAGTCCCTTTCAGTTCCTAATAGTTTTGCAATAGAAATTTCTCAAAATGGAACATAACCAAAGATATCATCATTCGTTATTGCATAATAGTTTCTGATATATAGTAGAAGAGATAAAAAGCTTAAAAGAAATTAAAACCTCAAACTCAGAAATAATTTGCACTAGGAAAATGACAATCAAAACTTTATTGTTTTTATACTGATCAATCAGAGGACTCGTCCAACAATAATTGCTAATCAAGACAAGCAACCTAGGCCACAACACCACAAGCAAGGAATAGCTTAAACTTTGTTAAATGGTGGAGTCCTTGATATAGAATGAGTGAGTACATTATGGTGAATATGGAAGATATTGAATAGTCACATCAACCCACATCTCATCCAATCTACACCGAATTGTATTCCCATCTCCATCTTTTCTTTTGGTTATTTTCATTCAAGACCAAATCTAGCATTGTGTGCTCAAGATGCTTCCAAATATAGAAATACAGTAAAAGTGACATATGAATTGCTTTTTGGCAGTATTTATTATCAATAATAAGACCTGGAAAAGCAACAACAGCTACCTAAATTTAATATAAATAGGAAAAAACAGAGAAGATGATCTATATCAATTCCTACCTGAGGATTAAAGAAAGATTCATTCAAGATCAGAGCAAATGGGAACAAATGGGAGCAAAATGCTTAGTTAAAGCCATATGCAAATTTCCTCACCCATATGCATTAGCAAGTATAAACACTATTATCAAAAATGTATTAAAAAAAAAAAAAAAGCACCCAGATGGAAAAATCAAATCTTTTATCAAAAAGAATCACAGATCAAGCAAACAAATAAGATCCCAATCTACATCAACCCATAAACAACTTAACCAAATCCATTTCCTCGAGATCACATCAAAAACAAGGAACCATGAAAACATCAACAGAGAGAAAAGGACAGATCAAGTTGGCAATGGGTTTAATGATTTTTACCAGTGGAAAACCCTCTGTGGAACACAGAGATCCTGAGGTATGAAGCAGCCCTTGAAGCCCACAACAACCTTGAAGCCATACCTCTGAGAAACTTGAAACCCCTTCAACTCAGACTGCACCCTGCTCCTTACCTGCTCTGCTCCGCTATGCTGTTGGGGGCAATCATAAGATTTGGTAAGGTTGGTCGCGTTTTTTTAATATAGGATAATTAAATCCAATTAATTACAAGATTATTTTTTTTTATCTCAAATTTTAATTACAGATTATTCAGTATTCTTATTCAGAAAAGCAAAAAAAGAATATCCTCGTCCTCCTCAGATTATTTATTAAAAATGTTTAATTTTAAATGAATGAGAATTAGGCAGAATTTACATTGTATTTCACCTGTCTTGCATCATGAATAGTTGCTATTAATATATTTATATAAAATTAAATACTGATAATTACAGTAGAATGGAAAACAATTTGAAAATTAAAATTAAAATTTGAAAAAAAAAAA